CCCCCCACTGTTTACACCTCCCCACCCCTCCTGCTGAATTATGACCAGTCCCTTATTGCCCAGGGGATCCGAGGTACCTAGCATTTAACGTCCTTATCCGAGAAGACGTGAAAGTCTAACCATTTACTGATATCAGTGTAAAGGCCTGGGTCATAGCTCTTTCTCCTCAGTTATTTTAAGACCTTGAATAGAGGTCTAAGGATTGAAGCTGGGTCTCCCAAATTCAAAGGCAAGCGTGGTGACCACAGAATAAAGACCACCACACCACCACAAGAGCTTGTCGTGGAGTGTCTATTATTAGCCTGCGTGCAGCCTGACTTTAAATGGAAAGACTTCTCCTCATTTAAAGTCAGGCTGCACGCAGGCTATCTATTATTTGTCACTAATCAATTTTCAATCGTAATTTTATTTAGATCTTGGTTCGTATCCAGTCGAATGTGATGAGATGAAAAAGTTCACTGTTATCTATACTGTCATGGTCGCGTTCTCAGCCATTGCTACTCTCGTTTGCTTATTCGCGGCCTTTATTTACTTCAGGATCTTGGGATGGATGTTACATGTAAGTACAAAGACAAAAAATAATTAGCCATTCCGAAGTTGATGAGTGGACTGGGGACGAGTGTTAAAGTGCACAAATAGAAATGAACTAAATCATTAAAAAGACCACCTCAAAATTAGTAAGTATACAAAGTTTGAAGACGTTTACATGAATACCCTTCGAATAATAAGCTTTCGAAAGCGCGTCCCCAAAACAAAAATTGCAATACATTTCATAGTAAATATCGGATTTTCGAAAGCTTATTATTCGAAGGATATTCATGTAAACGTCTTCAAACTTTGTATACTTACTAATTTTGAGGTGGTCTTTTTTGTGATTTGGTTCATTTCTTATTTTGGGCACCAGTCCACACATCAACTTCGGAATGGCTAATTGTATTCTCCGATCCGAGTTCGTGTTATCAATTTTTCGTCTTAATATTTAGCAGAAATAGACCCCAGAATTGAAATCCTTATTTTCAAATTAGTCTAGAAAAATTTCATGATGTTTGTACATTCATGGCGCAAGTTACGGCGTTTTGAAAATTGTGTCAGTTATTGTTGTATTTCCAGTCAGGCAAATTTCGGGGGCAAACATTTGACCAACCTCGTACCCAGGGTATTACCTTCGCTCACCCCCTGTTGACATTTGACTGCAATTGCCACTGGAAATACGCAGTAACCCACGCCCTCATGAATGTCCAAAGATTGTGAAATTTTCGATATAGACTAAATTTGAAGACATATTAGAATGTTAGGGTTTGTAATCCAAGTGAGCATATAGGAACGACTGCGAAAAATGCAGCACAAGGTCCTCTGGCAGGAATATTGAATTGAACCTACGGCACTGCGATTCCGGTGCAGCGCTCTAACCAACTGAGCTACAGAGGCCAGCTGTTGAGCTGTAACCGTAAGTTCATGTTGTATTTTTTCAGATCAGTTATGACGACCCAATCGACGATTATTACGCCAAAGCAGTGAACAGTCATTTCATTAACGGTCACCATGGAAGAGGACAGACAAATGACGTAGCTCTTGGGGTATATCCTCAATGATGTCATTACATACCAACATGACGTCGTCGTAAACTTGGAATTCAGTATATTTTAAAGCCTGCTGGTTTCCATACGGTCGTAACGGTAGTAAAGATTGAGTCACGATCATTCTCATCAGCCGAAATACAACATTTTAAAACTAAAAATACGTGGAGTGATTATAACTAGAGAATATACTTATGATTTATATGTGGTTTACAGGTATAAACTATTATAAACTGGCCGTTGAGAAAGATCGTGGCTCTATTTGCCGGTACGACCATTACGATCATATGGAAACCAGGTATTAGCCGTTTTCACATTAGAAGACGGACAAGTCGTCTAGACGAACAAATCGTCTCAAAATCGTCTTTAGTCGGACAAATCATCAGATGTGAAAACGTGTCGTACAAAATTTTAGACGAACAAGTCGTCTGAATTTGTTCGACTACTTGTCCGTCTGTGAAGACGATTTTTGAGAGACAATTTGTTCGTCTAGACGACTTGTCCGTCTCTAATGTGAATAGGGCTAATCTAGTTTTGTAAACAAACTGACGTTTATCGAATTTACATGTAGCCATAAAAACGTCTTTATATTATTTATAATTGCACGGTTTCACGACAGACTGTAACTTTATAAAAACGTTTTTCTTATATAATATAATTTGTAGTTTTGTATATTCTGTAATGATCAACGCTGGCTTAATTAAATTGCCAAATTGTAGTATTAATGTAAACGTAATTACAATTCGTGAAATTAGGTTTAGGTTTCTGGGTTAACCGGTTAAAATCCCAGAGCATGTGTGTACTACACCGGCTGGGGAGCGCTAATTATTCAATCTCGCACCCAAAGTACGAAGGGCCCATTCGCAGGTTAGGGTTGACCTGCAAACGGGCATGCTCTGGGAACGAGATTGGGTTAAATTCTAAATTAACCAACTTTTTTGGTTTTTGTTTTCCTGCGCGTCTGTCTTCTTCCCGAACTTCAGAAAAAGAAGACTTCTACCGATGCAGACTGGTTTCTGGAAAAATATCTGCATTGTGGCAAATTTACTCCTATTTAGTTCATTTCATTTACATGAAGTTTTAATGAATGCATACAAGACACTGCTGCACATCGACATTGCTGGCACAAATGGCGGAAAATTTCAAACTTTATTTTCACAAAGAAATTGTTGAAGATTTTATCGGAAATATATACAAATGGAGCTGTTTTGTTCCGTAATGTATGCTCAAATTTTTAAACGGATTAAGTGTGTGTATTCGAAAGGAACTTTAAAATGCAGAAAGGAATTACCAAAGGCATTTGAAATGGCAAACACCGGGGTATGAACGTGATGTGAATTATTTATTCATTAATATTTAAAATGATTTTAAAATCTATAATGTAATGTAATGGTAGCTGTATTAGTTTAAATTATTTAATTGATTCATGCAATGTAAGGTTCACTGTGTAAGGTTCACTAAAATATAGAGCGTTTGCACATGTCACAGCCGCTATGTTGGTGTTCCAATTCAAAAGAATTTTAATTCGGCTCTTTTGTCTGGAACACCAACATGGCCACAGAATAAGTCATACAGAAGGCTGACCTCTTGGTTTTTCCTATGATTTTCCAATGATTTTGGCATAACTGTAATTTGTCATCAAAATGTTGATGCCATGGTCCTAGCCAGTGCGCGTTTGAGAGGCATTCACCCCCCTGGTAATATTCAAAATGGCGGACGTGCAGGGGGGAAGCATCTCAAACGCGTACTGGCTAGGACCATGGTGTCAGCATTTTGATGATGAATATGGTGTGTCTTTATTCTGTGCCATGGCGTTTGCTGAGTTGGTCACTGGGGAATGAGTGCAAACACTCTATACCGTACTTACTTGCTTGTTCGAGGGCAGCACTCTTGAGGGGGAGAAGATATTATTTTAAACATTAATTCTTTCACCATCTGAACTCAGAATAGTCTGTTACAAACTACATTGCATTGCCACTTTAAGGGTTGAGAAAAGTTATGTTTACTCTGTCCAATCAAAAAGCAGCCAATCCATAAATTAACATGTTCTTAAATTAAGGCCTGTTTAAACGGATCCAACATTGTTGGACCAACATCATCCAACAATGTTACTATACTAGATATGACTGCTTCTCTTTCAAATCTTTTTGGTTAGATAAGCTTTACTCAAACTCTAAACCTAGTCTTGACAAAAATATTTGAAAAAGAAGCCGTTTGAGCCATTATTTCAACAATGTTGGATGATGTTGGTCCAACAATGTTGGATCCGTTTAAACAGGGCTTTAGTTTCATAAAAATAGCATTTGACAAAAAGGCACGTGCGTGCAATGCCTGAATAAAGTTCATCATAGTTTTATATTTACGCAGTGTGCTTGTCACCCAGACTGCTTGTCAGCTGAGTGAACTGTAAAGAGAACACGCTCTGTAGCTCAGTTAGAGCGCTGCACTGGGATCCGGCCAGATTCCTTCCAAATGGCATATAGTTGCATTTTTTTGCAACCTGGTTAGGTCTAGTGGGTGACATTTCAGCCGAAGTCTGCGAGATAAGTCCACATAACAGCGAGTTTTTATAATTTTTTTGACGAATGATGGTAAATTTGCTTTGTAAATGGTTAGTTTATTTTGAAAAATTGCTTTTCACATTGTTTTAATTGTCTGCATTGGATAATGAAAATTTGATGCCACCCAAAAATGGCGAATATTCGTCATCGTGAGAAAGGCTAATGGACCATTTGCATTATAGACTAAATTTTGATCTAGACAAAAATTTCATCACAGCTTGAAAGAGCATCACAAAATTAGTAATATTCCAAAGTTTCGTTGCGAAATGTTGTAAAATGCGGATAATATAGTCTTGCGAAGTTTGCAATTTTCAGTCATTTTAGATTACAAACGGGAAATTGATGCTCCAACACCCGATTGGGCTGTCAATTTCCTGTTTGAATGAATACAAAATGACCGAAAAACGGCAAACTTCGCAAGGCTGTATTATCCGCATTTTACAACATTTCGCAACGAAACTTTGGAATATTACTAATTTTGTGATGCTCTTTCAAGCTGTGATGAAATTTTTGTCTAGATCAAAATTTAGTCTATAATGCAAATGTCCATTGACACTCAACATTTCTTTCAACAAAACCGTTCCATGTACACTCGTTCTGTCGATGGGTAATTCCAGCTATATATAGATTAAATTTTGATCAAGGCTAGAAGAACGAAATCCAACACCACAGCTAGAAAGAGCATCTTAGAATGAGTAAAACTGCAAAGTTTGGTTGCGAAATGTTGTTGAATGAGGAAAATATAGCCCTGCGAAGTTCGCAAATTTTGTATATATTTGTATTACGCGCGTGAAAAATAACCACTTTCGGCTCAAAAATGATTATTTTTACCGCGCGTAATACAAATATATACAAAATTTGCGAACTTCACAGGGCTATATTTTCCTCATGTTACAACAATTCGCAACCAAACTTTGCAATTTTACTCATTTTAAGATGCTCTTTCCAGCTATGGTAATCGATTCCGTTCTTCTTGTCTGGATCAAAATTTCGTGTAAAGCTGGAATCACCCATTGAAAACAAAGTTCACGGACTTTGCACTTGGACATGCTGCGGATGGCGTTTGGGTATTTTGTACGTCGGACCATTGAAGTGACAATTTTTTCCCTCATCAATTAATCTATCAATTTCCTAGCCCTTGTCACAGACCTCTCTGACACTGGCTATCAATTTCCTCGTTCCCAAAATAAGTTCTAGATCGGGTACGATATATATATAATTTATGAAATGAATAATGTAAACAGTATTTAGAAATAAATGGGGATTAATATCTGTCCTCACCCATGTGGGATGGTTAGGTATAAATAAACTTTGCCTTCTTCTCTAAGTTGGCTAATGACCTGTGAGTCTGCATGCTACGTGCTACCTTGAGGACACAAATCGTGCTCGAACTCTGCGTCCGGTTCCGTAATCAATTAGGGTTTTTTAAAACAACTTACTATGTAACCAAATAGATAGACTTGCTCCAAGTCGACCTTCAGGGACACGCGCGAGAAAAGAACGAACGCGAGCGCGAGCGACGAAGTCGCTCAAAAATTCATTCGCATAAATAAGGACGTATTAAAGGCGAGGGACTTTGCGAAAGTCTACCAAATAGATTACTGTAAGCAAACTTGAGGAAGCGCAAAAGTGGATATTGAAAATGAACCTAAAATCACGTCATGTCTTCGCCTTCTTTGCCTCACATGTCTCGACTCAACCAGAATTATAATCAGACAAATGCGTATATTGACGAAGCCCAATCACAGGACATAGAGCTGAAATCATAGAGCTGAAATCCTAGAGTTGAAATCGTATAGCTGAAACGGAGTTGCGTGCTGTGTCACTAATCTTCGGTTTCATATTTCAATACTCAAACAAAACTCTGAATGTTGTCAATCTTGTAGCTCGTGTTTCCTGCACTTGTAAACAGACACTGGCCAACTGTGTGTACAGTCATCGCAACGGCAACACAGAACCGAAACGTATCACACGTTTTAAACGACCTAGTCTTAGTTAAAGAATCTAGCGATGAGCGCACGCGTAAATGGAATTGTAAACGAAGGGCAGGACAATGATGACACGATCCCGAGCAAATCTGCGAAGACATCGACGCCGACAACAGACAAACCTGTTGCCGTAGCTGTTACCGACCACGAGGAAAAACGCGAGTCATGGGGCAATAAACTTGAATTTCTTTTGGCTACCATCGGTTTCGCTGTCGGCCTCGGAAACGTATGGCGCTTTCCTTATCTATGCCAGAAAAATGGAGGAGGTAGGATTTTTATATATTTGATATTTACGATATTTCTACAGTACTTCACTGTAACATATAGTAAACTATAGTGACAGCCAAAGTCACTAGTAACTCGCATGCCTCGTGTCACTAGTGACTCGAGACGAAGGGCCTTCGCTCGAAACGTCGAAATTCTCCTTATATTTTTCAGGTAGTTTCATTCCTACTAACGAAAGCTTGTTTATGTAGTAACCGCCATCTGTTTGTAGATGATATTGTACAACTACGTGAAAAATACAAAAAGAAGTCGGTCGTTTCGAGTGAAGACCTTTCGTCAGGGAAAGATGTTTCTTCGTCGAAATTCTTTTCATATTTTTAAGTTGTTTTATCATCTACAAACGTTCGCTGTTTCTGTTCTTCGTTATCCCGCCCGCCGTTGTTAAGTTTATATGTAGTAAAACAGTGTGTCCTATATATACAAGTACAACAAGCAGCCATTGTATTCTACACTCAGTCGTCGTGGTTTCTGTCTGAAACTGCCTGAAACACTCTGAAAACAAAACTCAGACACTCCTGTTTTATGTCAGAAGATGACTAGAGTTTTGACTTTGAGAGTTTGTATACAAACGCACAAGAAAATCCAAAGTCCAGCTCGGGTAGCCGTCTTCGGTCAATAAGCTGCCGTTTTTGCGTTCTGAACTTACTAAAAAAGTTCCATATTTCGACCCGAAGGTCCTTTTATGGAAATGTTTTGCTATTTTTAATTAAACGGTTTAAATGCTTTGACGACGAGGAGTTTTACCCACTCAACACAGCAGCCTACGCAATAGAATAATTGCGAACGGATTAGTGAAACAGGCGCTAAAACTGTAAAAGTGTGACGCATGCAGTACTTTATTGCGTATCTCTGTACTTTTCAATGAATCCTACATGTGTATGCCAGATATGTACAGATGTGAACATGTGGTCTGTAGCATAAACAGTTTCTATGGCCGACGCTTTATAGACTTAGTCAACGAAAAAATGGCCGGGGGCATTGAATGATTTTCGTTTATTCGGGAAGCGAAATTCTTTTCCAAGGCATGTACACGTTTCTTCACGTTTGTAATGTAGTATTTGTTGTACGTATGTAGAGGTCAGGCAGGTTCATATAAATTGTAAACAATATCTTGATGCCTCGAGGCTTCGTACAAAACGTCCGAGTACAGAATGATGCAACAGCTTTTCACGCCGATGAAACGCGGCTTGATTAATTGATATACGCATATTAAGCTAGAGCTGTAGAGCTGTATCTACTGATTGCGTGATTCTTTAAAAAAATTCCGTGTATTTTTGTTCTTGGGATAATCCAATTTATGTATTAAAGTTGTCCCGGATAAATAAAATGGGATTTATAATAGAGCGAGGTCGTATATTTTGTGGGTCATAAAATATTGAGCAATGCCAATGTATTTGCAAATGCATTATTCATATGTCCGCTATAATATGTCAACAGGGAGACCCTAAGAAATTGCTAACTTCTAGGACAAAAAATTGAAGCTGTACAACGAGACCGAGACGCTTCTTCATTAGAACAATGAAGCCTTTTCGTTTAGTTTAAACGCATGTTACCCAATTAGAGAATCGAAAACGAAACTGCAAAACCTTATGAAATGCTGGAACTGGGCGAAATCTCAAGATCTTGATCCTTTACCATGTGCCATGTGGTGTCTCAATAAGTAATTGATACCCTATAATATATATCCTTGAGTAACCTCGTGATGGCGGTTTCAATGTTACGTAATTCACGAGTAACACTTCTCTAACAACATTATACAGGGATGCCAGAGCTATTTATTTTTCTTTTTTTTTAATTTTTGAGGATACTGGCATCAGCAAGGCGCCAATGACCGTTAAGATGCATTTACTATGTTCGGATGCCTTCTAATCTTGTGATAAAACCTTCGCTTTAAAAATATCAGAATTCCATGCGTTATTTCTCTCTCATGACAAGAACCGATACCAAAGGGTCAATGCCCATGCGAACTGTTTTGTGAACCCACGCTCCTATTTAGTGGAACTTTCCACTTCTCACTGGGGTTTTGGTGGGGGGGGCGTCGGTAGAGCAGGTGCTTTTCATGTCTGAGAGCGTGGGTTCAATTTTCGTCCCATGAGAGACAGAGTGAAGACATTCATGCGAAAAGATCTAGTCAACACATGCTAAACGTCCGTGGGTTTTTCGACGTACAGACAGATATTCCGCATAGAATGTTGACAGGCTGTGAGGCTGTGTTTGGTCGTTATAGGATACATAAAAAATAGACTGGGAGCTCCATCAGGAATAAGAAGAACAAGAACTATAGGCGCCTTAAGTCGCAGTAACTAGGACCACCCTCAGATAGATCGCACTATCGCAGTATGAATTATGAAAACCTTCTTGAACATAGATGATTGAGCAATTTCAAATTGTCTCATTGTGGATTGCGTGCTATGCGGAAGTAAAGGAACGATACAGACCTCTCTTGTTCTTCCATCTATCTTCGACTCCTTAGGTAATAAATGTGCACCCTATTACATGGTTTAATATCACGATTGCAAAGAGTTGAGTGTTTTTAAGCCAAAAATATCTTACTGTGCTTGCATAAAATAGATGTCATATTTTTTAAATTGTGAATATCTTTTAATACTTAATATTCTGGCAGTTTAATCCTATTAGCGTGGCTCTGCTATTTCGCAATGACAATGAACTACAAGTGTGTTAGCATTATACCTGACGTAACAAAGGAAAGTGAATTACAAAACTGTTTACACTTACTGCCTTTTAATCTTTCCTCAAACACAACTTTGCCATACATTAACGCTAAGGTCATGGCCAAACTGCCTTATAGGCAAACCGTTATTCTGTAGGTAGTTTTCCACAGATTGGTGCCACATTGGTGTAGGTAGTATTCCACAGATTGCACCCCACAAGCTGCCGTGTATGGTTTGTGTCTGAAGAGAACTACCTAGTGAGAAAGATATCTCAAACGTGGGTGTCCAGTGTGGGTAGAATTCTACAATAAGCTGCCGTGGTTTGTGTCTGAACTACCTAAAAAATAGATCCTAAAACGTATAGGAATGCAATGTTGGTAGTATTCTACAATAAGCATACTGTGGTTTGTGTCTGAACATGTCGTATAACCTAAAAAATACTCAAACGCGGGGGTTCATTAATGTAGGTATTATTCTTCCGTCTGAACTACTTGAAAAATATCTCAAACGTGGGGTCTGGCGTAGGTAGTTTCTACAATAAACTCCCGCGCTTTGTATTTGAAGAGATTGGAGTTGTGCCAATCAAAACATCCCCAAAATTGGTCAATTTATTTGCTAAACTTGGAGCAATTCGATCCTATATAGCATGGTACTTCAAAAATTTGTTGGTCTAATTAACATAATTTCCTGTCTTTGAATTGCGAAAACAGCGGGGGGGGGGGAAGCAGGGCCGCCGAGAGGGGGGATTGCCCCTGGCCCCCACCTTAATAGGGCCCCACTTGAGAGCAAGAGCCTAAAATTGAGTAGGTTCTTTATTAAACTGGTCGGAGCATTTTTGAAATTGAGGGCCCCTTACAGTACCTCCACATGCAGTCTAGCTAAGGTCCAGTTGGGTGACTGACTTGGGTCTACCTTAAAAATAATGATGTTATGGGGTCCCCAGAGAAGATTTGCCCCGGGCCCCGCGAATTCTCTCGGCGGCCCTTGGGGGGGGGGGGGTAGCACCTTGTCTGAAAGTCAGTAAGCGTGGGACAACACTGCCAACATCCCGATGCAATGTGTTCGCTCAAAATGTCGAAATTTTTTAATACTTCACACATCAACCACTTTGTTGCCACATTATAAAATTTTGTCTTAATCCATGTCAAGGATTTTCAACATGCAAATTCTTTGCAATTTGTTTGTTTTATACTTTTTTCAAATGGTCTGCTGGAAACCGAATGGGTTTTATAGTGTTGTTGCGCAAATTTAATCGGTGGATTATTATTTTTTTCATTTAATCAATCTTTTTATATATTGATCTATCACAACGTAAATAAGTTAGATCACGCAATATGTAAGGCTACACAAAGTAAATTTATTTGCTGTATAGTGTGTTAGATTACTGCCTTTGCAAGCCCCTGGCACATTGCGCTGCCGCGAGATGGTCAAACAACGAACTTAATGTGATTAACTGGACCGATATTTGGTTTCACTTTTCCCGCCAAACGTCTGAATGTCATACAGTGTACTGAATTTGAATAGGTCGCAAGGTGACCGACCTTGAACTTGTTTCATTCAACGTGATACTGTTCGTGTTTACCTCGGAAATGGTTGTAATATAGAATTAGCTTTGTTTTAGCAAACATACGTAAAACTAATCTTCCTTTGTTTGCAGTAAGAGTCTGCGTTTAAAGCGTGTGTTTATTCAGGGTTTAGCAGCGTTTTACGAAGCATTTTTTAGTACAATTGCCTTATGACGAGGCAAAACACTAGCTTTAAATATTATATTAGTGTTATGCAATAATAATAATAATAATTGGTTTAATCAACCGTGTTGCAGTTGCAAAATTGGATTACACGAAGGAAACAATAGTCGAAAGTTTTGGTTTTCACCAGCGCCAGGACTGGAAGGTCATCCTATTGATAGGGTTACCCTACCTCAACGTAAACAGGACTATTAAGACCATCTAAGGAATTGTTTTTCAATGTTTGGACGCAGTATACGGCGAAGGGCTTCCCAAGGAATACACACATGCAAATAATTTATCTTCTTAGAATGTAGACCGACGTCTTCCAGCGAGATTAGCCCATATCTCTTTTCCCGCACTTTTGGATTTGCGATTTCGGTGAACGCCCATTTCCACTCAAGAAACATTTCCACCGACAGAAAATTTTCCGAAAATGTCGGCCAATGACATTTCTGCGGAAAATTTTCCCCAAGTGGAAATGGCTCAGATCGTCACCGGACTATTCAGGCTCCCCGTATAAACAAGAACGGTGTGTGACAGTCGTAGAAATAATAGATTAGTGTCAGTCCGCAGTTTCCGTATAAACAACTTCTTTAGCAGAGTCATTGCATGCTTAACATAAACTAGCCCATGACAACGGTGTTTTGGAATTGCAACATCTCTGATAATTGCAACATCTCTTGTAGTACGTTCGCGGTTACAGCTGTGGATTCAATTGAACTGATAAAGATAATATTTTCCTTAAGGTTTCACTACGGGGTTAATATAGACCATGTGTTTTCTTTTCATTCTCGTAGTCTGCGTATATAGTGTTTGTTTACTGCTTGTTCTATCAGCAGGACCTCCGAGTCAGATCGGAGTTTTAACACCGACTGAGCCGGAATAAAATGTCTCGAGCGATCATTGCCAGCGTAGATTGCGATGAGTACAAACAGCTGGCGACCAACGCTGAAGGAACGCCAACAAAATAATATCAGTAATGATTTTTCTGTGGGCTAGTATTCCAAAGGTCGTAGGTTCGATTCCCACCGTGGTCAGGCATATTTTTCAAGCTTGCCCGGTGTGGATATACACTCAGAGTAACATCACAAACATCAAAATAATATCATTGGCAGCTATTGCATTTGGAGCGGGTATTCCTCCAACATGGCCACCATATCTTTGTCTTCTGTCTGGTTTCAATATGGTCGTAACGGTCGCAAAAATAGAGTCACGATCTTTCTCAGTTTATAATAGTTTACACCTGTAAACCGCATATGAATTATAAGTATATTCTCTGGTTATAATCACTCCGCGTATTTTCAGTTCTAAAATGCTGTACTTCGGCTGATGAGAAAGATCGTGACTCAATCTTTACGACCGTTACGACCATATGGAAACCAGGCTTTACAAATTAAAGGGTGTACGATCAACAAGTTTTCCTTTGACAAGTTTTGTTGTTCGTCAGTTCGTGTGCAGGGAATGGGAATGTTGTGAAACATTTATCTCACGTCAAGGTCCCCTTTTGTTTGCCAAAACCCTAGAAGTATTTCTTGCACACTTGTCAAGTTTTTCTTGGCGGCCGTACAGACGAACAAATTTGCCTTGACCAAAAGCTGGCAAGGAAAAATTGTCAATTATTTGCCTTACACACGAGCAAAGAAGATTTCTCAAGGGCAAATTGCTCGTTTATACGAGATGTTGATATATGGAAAGTTAACCTAATTTTATCTAAAATCTATTTCTAGGTGCCTTCCTCATTCCGTACTTCATATCACTGTTCCTGCTGGGTATCCCGCTGTTTGTCATCGAGCTTGGCATGGGTCAGCGGCTACGAAACGGCTCGATCGGGGTCTGGAACCAAGTTAGTCCATATTTGGGTGGAATTGGCGTGACGTCATTGGTTGCATCATGTTTCATCTGCATATACTACAACATGATTGTAGCATGGTGTTTCTATTACCTCTTCATATCCTTCCAAGATCCCCTGCCATACCAAGATTGCCCTACCGTGGATGGTAACAAGACTGAGCCGGAGTGTGCACTCGCTGGGGAGACCTCGTACTACTGGTACAGGAAGGCTTTGGGTCTCTCTCCGTCAATCACTGAAAGTGGCGAGGTTCAGTGGCATTTGGCGCTAGTCTTGCTCTTAGCTTGGTTGGTCGTGTTTCTCTGTACCATGAAAGGTGTCAAGTCCACGGGAAAGGTAAACATCTTTGCTACAACATACCGTATTGACGACTTCAGGTCACTTTTCAAAGCGCGGTTATGGCGGCATGCATTGTGATAGACTTCAATCTAGGCACAAGACAATCTCGACTTGCAATACTCTTCTGTAAACAAAAAGCAAGTTATGTGGCATTTCAGTATATGAGATGACAGAAATTTTCTGCAGGATGTAAGAAGAATTCTTGCGAAGATATGCTGATCTGCTGATGCTGATCTGCTGATGCTGCGGGACATTAGCCAGCTCTGCTTATGGCCATTATTAAATTAAAAAAAAATAAAAGTGTGTTCCAACCTACCACTTTTTTTCAGGATATGAAATCGGAATCACAGGGTATTTTTTGTCAGGGCTAATGCATGATCTATTTTCCCGTAGGCTGTCTACGTGACTGCGTTATTTCCATACCTTGTTCTTGTCATATTCTTCTTCCGTGCTGTGACATTGGACGGCGCTGGGGATGGACTCAAACGAATGTTCACACCGAAGGTAAAGATATAAACGTTGTCACCCCCCCCCCCCCCCCCCCCCCTGTTGAGAGTTGAGTAAACTCTCATGTAAACTTTCGCATCTCAACTCTCATACATTCTCATGTAACTGTTGCATGAGAATTTATGACAGTTGAACTCTTGTTCTCTTTTGACCAGGCATGAGAGTTGAGAGAACTCTCATGGAAACTTTCGCTTCTCAACTCTCATCAACTCTCATGCAACTCTTGTTCTCGTTTGACCGGGGCATGAGAATAGAGAGAACTCTCATGCAAACTCTCGCATCTCAACTCCCATTCTCTGTCACCAGGCCTCAACGCATCCTTATCGCCCGTATTCTAAAAGCTCACTCACACTCAATGAGTGGAAGTTCAATCTGAGCTTCTCTCGAGTGTCATTGCTGTTTTTGAATAGTTGGAGGAATAGTGTCATACGTGACTACTAATAATAATAATAATAGCTTTATTCATCCATCTTAAGATAAAAAAGTACAATGGACTTACAATTACTTGTTTAAGAAAGTATATATGCTGCGGATATGTCTTTATATTACAAATTGTTGTAAGATAATTTAGAAAACTAACTAAGAAGTTAAAACTAATAAATTCTTTAATCTAATAAGTTCTTCTAATAAGTTAAAACTATTTATACATATTTACAAGCTCTACCTGATATTCAAAAACAGCATTAACACTCAAGAGAAGATCAGATTGAACCTCCACTCATTGAGTGTGAGTGAGCTTTTAGAATACACGCGTATATCTAGATCACTGGCCAATGTTAAGAAGGTGATTTTAATATCTTCTCTAGTTCGAAACGCTGGGTGATCCTAGAGTATGGCTGGAGGCTGCAACGCAGATCTTCTTCTCGTTAAGTTTGTCGTTCGGTGGTCTGATTGCTATGGCAAGTTTCAATCCAGTGAAAAATAACTGCAAGAAAGACGCCATTATGGTCTCTCTTATCAACTGTGGAACATCCATATTCGCAAGCATTGTCGTTTTCAGTGTGCTCGGATTTAAGGTACGACCCGTAGCAAACGTGGAAACATTAGGGAGCTTTAGATTTGACTACGAGTACGACTACGAGTACGAAATTCGTCAAGCGAAAACGCATGCTGTATGCTTACGCCATCCCGTACTGACGCGAAAAAGTCGTAGCCGTCGCCCATCTGAGTACGAAATTGTGGAGAAACCTCGTAGTCCTCACGACGACTTTTCAAAAAAACAAAGAAAGTTGGCTTTTTTTTGTTTTCCAAAAATAATTTGTAGCATTTATATAGCGTTTATCCGGCGCAAATAATATATTAGTACTAAATATCTGGCCTATTTTTAATGTCATGACTTATTTACACGTTTTGTAGGGGATTTTAGTCGGCAGGAGATTTAGTTTATGAAACTTTTTCTCAAGTTGTTGATTTACTGTTATAAAAGCAACATTTGAATGGAAACGAAAACGACTACGGTAATTTCCTCGCACGCGATCAAATCTCGTACTCGTAGTCGTACTCGTAGTCAAATCTAAAGCTCCCTATTGTTCGCGAAGGCGGACAAACCAAGAAACATTGTTTCCTAGCCATGTTTCCCGAAGGTGGTCAAACCAGGAAACATTGTTTCCCGAAGGTGGAAAAACTAGGAAACATTGTTTCCTAACCATGTTTCCCGAAGGTGGACAAACAAAGAAACATTGTTTCCTAACCATGTTTCCCGAAGGTGGACAAACCAGGAAACATTGTTTCCTAACCATGTTTCCCGAAGGTGGACAAACAAAGAAACATTGTTTCCTAACCATGTTTCCCGAAGGTGGACAAACCAGGAAACATTGTTTCCTAACCATGTTTCCCAAAGGAGGAAAAACCAGGAGATATTGTTTCCTAACCATGTTTCCAGAGGTGTAGCCAAACCTGGAAACGTATATCAGAAAATCTACACGCTGAGTTAATTACTGTACTTACAATCATGTATTGTTTTACAGTATCCCGTCACTACCTCGGGAGGAAAGAACATATTGAACATACAACATGACCCACATCAAATCTTAAAAAACCTTTTCTCGCCCCTCAAGTGATGCGACCCATTCCTGTGTATATAATACTCTTGAATTAACACTTCAGGCCAAAACTGCGCGTGATGAATGTTTAGAAGAAGAAGCGAGGAATCTCACAGCGAGAAACTTCACATGTAAAAGTTTAGATGACTACTTAAGTGATGTAAGTACAAGCCCGTTTAAACCAGTTCAACTTCATAGATGCATCTTCTGGGGGTGCCAGGGGAGAGGGGGGGTGTGCGCACCGCCCCAAAAATATTCTGCACCCCCAGAAAGTTTTCCCACCCCACCTAGAGAAATTTGCACATATCCTCCCTTCCCCCATTTCAATGACAGCAGTGTGATTGAAATAAGGATTTTGAACTAAATAGGACCAAAAATCTTAAAATGAGGGATAATTGTGCAGTGAGGATATAAAATCCTATGACTGTCACGACCCACCCCTCAATCTGTTATATATTGCGTAAATTTCCGCCGTTGTTTCCCTGCACCGGCCTTGTGATACATTTTGGTGTTTAACAACAGGTTGCTCAAGGTACAGGATTGTCATTTATCGCGTTTACTGAAGCCATAACGAAGATGCCGGCCCCGCAAGTGTGGTCTGTGTTGTTTTTCCTTATGTTAATCACACTCGGTTTGGGCAGCATGTTTGGAAATATCGCGGGAGTTGTTACTCCAATCCTTGACATGGGTTTGCTCAAAATAAAAAAAGAGTATCTCAATGGTAAGTGTATTTCATCGATATTTTTCAATGCCGCGTATGCGGAGTTGCGCACTTTTCCAGGAAATCTCAGCTGCGCAAATGGTAGAAAATCCAAAGCCCATTTTCCACGAGGCGAATTTGCTCGCACGAAGCCACTTTTGTCGACATCGCTTATCACGTCAGCAAAAGCAATGCGGACAAAGAAAAAAAGACGCGCGAACAAATTCGCCTAGTGGAAAACGGGCTTAATTTAAGTGCAGGCGCGCAAAACAGTCTCAAAGTGCACCTCAAAAGGGGCAGTCAAGCGCTCCAAGGTAGCCAGATACATGTTAAAAGTAATATAGAAGGGCAGATTAAAGAGCAAAAATTGTTATAAAGTACACCCCAGGTGAGAACAAATTCGCCTAGTGGAAAATGGGCTTTAATTGTTTTCATTATATGTAGTATTCTTGTACTCACACATAGCGAGGTCTCATTTAGTGAGGTGGACAGTCCCCCATCCGGATAAACAGTCCTCTAAATAGGCAGCTTTTAATTTATGCGCACAGGGGTGAGGGGAATTATGGTATCATAGTGCTGATTATGCTGAAAAATTTCAATAAAAACTGCCGAAACAACCGAAATATTTCAATATTTACAAGTATATAAGCTATCACTCCGTGTTTACACGGCCGCCATTTTTATTTTTTCAGCATAATGAGCAATATGATACCTTACTTCTCATCCCCCTCGCATAAACTACAAGCTGGAATTGCCTATTATTCATTTTATTCACGCAGTGTTTTGCTCTATTCTATAGCGATAATGTCTACGATATTATTTTTATTCGGTCTCTTGTTGTGTCAGAATTCTGGTGAATATTGGCTTCAACTTTTCGACTCCTATTCCTTAAATCTCGCGCTATTGTGGATCGCCTTATTCCATCTCATCGGTATGAACTTTGTTTATGGAACAGAAAGGTATTACGTGATTAAGAAAAAGCTCACAGCTTTAACATCGTTTTGCAATTATGAAAAAGTACAACATACTGTGGAAGCTCAATGATTTACTACACTATAGTTTATACATGTTTTGGAAAAATTAGTTGTCATATGCATAAAAATAATATTTAACAATTATTCGCCGAAGGCGAGGTGATTACACAAGTCTTTTGTGTTTTTTGGGACTGAATTTATTTTAATTTCGCTTATTTGTTTATCAGTAACTTCCACAAAACGGCTAGCCGCCATTTTGCAAATTTCGGTTTTGCTATATTCACTTGTGCAAAATTACTAATCAATAATATGCCAATTACGTACCTTTTCCTTATGGAATTCATGCTAGGCTTGATAGCTGCCTCCTCCCCAGTCCCTTCATGTGAGTTCAGGGGATAACCCGCACACGGGCGAATGTGGAGTGCGATAATTTGTGACTTTGAGGGCCTGTGGAAGAGTTAGGCGGGCACTTTCCTTACGATAGTAACGTGTAGTTTTTGCATATTTTAGGTTCAGAGATGATGTGGAATACATGACAGGGACGCGACCTGGAATGTATTGGGTAATCACGTGGCGATATATTGGTCCAGTCCTGGCAGTTCTTCTGTTCATTGCTGGTCTTTATGACATGAGCGACAAGGGGATTGGCTACTCCGCCTGGGACAAGGAAGAGGTTGGTAAACGATATACCTGCACTGACCTCTATATATATCTGGAGCGAGTGAAATTTTGATCTAGACAAGTCTGGACAAAAATTTCATCACAGCTTGAAAGAGCATCACAAAATTAGTAATATTCCGAAGTTTCGTTGCGAAATGTTGTAAAATGCGGATAATATAGCCTTGCGAAGTTTGCCATTTTTCAGTCATTTTGTATTACAAATGGAAGTTGGTGATCAGTTTGATCATCTGATCATCAATTTCCCGTTTGTAATGCAAAATGACTGAAAAACGGCAAACTTCGCAAGGCTATAAAGAATTAGATTTATTAGTTATGAGTTTTGGTAAAGTATTCCAGATCCTTGTTGATCTGATTGTATGACATTATTTTTAGGGTAAGACAAAAAGTGCCGAGTTTCCACCCTGGGGTGATGCAATGGTGATTATATTAGTCTGTCTGGCGCTAATGTGTGTTCCTTTCGTCGCGATTCTTCGCTACTTCAGACTGTGTACGTATCTAGGCAAAACGACGGATCGTAATTTCCAGAACACCACTTCGAGACTTGAGCTCACGAATGGCATTGACGAAAAACCCCCGCTTGGCACCACAGGCGGGGATTATGATAGCAGATTGTAAATATGTATTTTCCTTAAAAATGAAGTGTTTGATTAAACGTATTCTCTGTGTAAATTTTTAAAATCAGTTCATATACTTAATATGACTAAAGAGAACTGCATTAAATTTATATTCCAAAATTGTTACGGATGGTTAAAAACACATTTTCTTTCTTGAAAACAACGATTTGAAACTCATAAAAACAGGTTTTAAAATTTTTCTCTGATAGTCCCCTCATTATTTTTTCCACTAAAATGTTTCCTATTTTTCCCCACCTTTTATCCCATTGAATAATTTCCCATTATTTTTCATTTTTTCCCGTTCTCATCTTTGACTGGGGCTCAGAAAAAAACTTGCACGCCAATATCGAGTTCAATGGTCCGATATTTTGTAATTCCACATGAACTAGTAACTGATAAATATCATGTTAAAATATACATACATCAGTAATATAGTTGTTAAAAAGTAGTTATAGACATAGGTCATAGTACGGTATATGTATATATATACGATTGTGAAATTTTCCAACAAGATTACAGACTTATAGTGTCTTGTTGCTACAGCTTGATTCCTCTATAGTCATTCTTGGTCAATGGTCACACTCAGAACAATGACCAAAGGTCAACGAGCACCCACCCTACCAGATTCAGTAACTCAATATTTGTTTATTAATGGCTACATATGAAAACGTATTGAGTTCACTGGCAACATATGACTCAATTTATCCTTGTCTATTGGATAATTCTATTCAACTCCCTTTATGGAGTGCCCATATCTGGTGTATCGTTCAATTTGTCTTTTTTCAAACCAAATTGTTCTAGTCCATCAGTTGACAGTCTGTCTTGATTCTTTCTCTTGTTCGGTCGACGCAAGAACTCGTCGATTGCTTTACGACAATCGCTCCAGACTTTCTCCTCCATCATTTCTGTCGTTGGGAACAATTCAAACACATATTTTTTGATTTTGTTAACACGCTCTGGGTCTAGTTTCTCTTTGTTTCTTGTGCCTGAAAATGTGAATGAGAACGCCTTAATCAGCGTTCGTACGAGGTAGAGTCAAATTCAAGGACTTTTCAAGGCCATGTATCAGCAAATTCAAGGACTAAATACTGAAGAAAAGGGGGTTGGAAACCAGTAAAATCTGACGTTGAATTGTTCAAAACGCAACTTTGAGTTTCAAACAGCTTCGTCAGATGTGAACATGCAAAATCAATTCAACAAAATGTCCGTTTTGAATGTCAAACAATTTCAGAAAATATCCAAAACTAAAGCCAGAAAAATATAAGGACTTTCAAGGCCTTGAAGTTTTGTTTTCAAATTCAAGGATTTTCAAGTACGAACCCTGCTTAATATGGACAAGTGCTTGAAAAAAGCGAAAGGTCCAAAGGCCCGTTTACTGACAGGGTTCGTAGCGGTCTTTGAAATCCTTGAAAGTCTTTAAATTTGAATGCAGGTCTTTGAAAAGTCTTTGAATTGTGTGAAAAAGCGAAGAAAGTCTTTAAATTCTTTAGAGCAAATATCGACGAAAAGGCGTATTTTAGGATGTGATTTGACGGGACTAATTACCGGGTAAAAATGGTGCTTACACAATACACTTGCTCTCAAAGGTCTTTGAAAAGTCTTTCAAAATAGGCAGAAAAAATCTTTGAAAGTCTTTGAATTTTTTTGGTCTTGGAGACTACGAACCCTTGCTGCGATATCTTGTACGATTTTCCTCTGCTGATCGATGTGAACGAGTACACAGTACTATACCTGATACATTCTTTGAATGTAGTTCATGAGATTTAAACATTTCTCGTACAAGATGGACAGCAAAGTTACCAACTGACTGACTGCGTGCTTTCAAACGTACCAGGGTAACCTCGTTCACCTCGCCAGGTTTGCTTTGGTGATGTAGCAACTGCTCTGGGGACAGACTTCCTGTGGTAAGGTATATAGCTTGGGGCGAGATAGTAGACAGGTCGGGTCCACCTTGAGAGGCGCTAACAAACCCCGGTTGCTCTTCATCACCGGAGGTCCGAGGCTCACCATCTACGCCGCCTTCCTGCGCGATCACTGTGGTCGTTGTTACTCCATTCAAAGTTTGGGAGACGGACATAGGTGACCCAGAAATCATTCCAACATGTTCGGCTGCTTGTACCAAAGCTAGGGTGCCATCCATTCCAATATTCCGCTTGGCAGCACGTGGTGATCCCATGGTGGGTCGGGTACCATGCATGTTGCTCTTGATGGTTGAAGTAAGTTTCTCAGAAATACGACCATCACCTTCACCGACACCAGTGATTAAAAAGTTGTTCAGGATGTCAACCTATTTGAAAGAGAGTCCAGAGTATTTTTAACATGACACCACACTTTGATGCACTATATTTGTCATTTTATTCTGTGTAACACCAAATGATTCTACATGTCAAGGGGAGAGTGCTAGCACTCAATGGGTTTAACTAGTCACAGGCCTGCAAATAATTATTTTGCTTGGAAGGACAGATGTTCGATATCATTTCATATCATGAAAAAATTAGGGTCAGTAGGTGGGAAATAAATTTTTTTTCATGGTTTTGGCGGTTTTTTGCGGGGCAATTTTCAGTAGAGTCCCGACATCAATATTAACTAGAGATGCATACTTCCTATGGACGAATTTAGGCAATTTGGTTCAATAATTAATGTGACAACAGACGCCTTTTTGGCACGCTGTATGAGCAGCCCGCAACCACCTGGAGAAAATAGGGTTGCACGGTCAATTGCATTGAAAAAATAATAGGGTCGGAAGAAAAAAAATAGGGTCAGTCGGGAACCGCAGGTATTTATTTGTGGCCCATATTTCCTATTTTACCTTTTGAATTATTGCCTGCTGATTTCTAAGCAAAGAATTCTGGTTGATTGTGATTGTATTTTGATTTGTAACAATTTGTTTCAGGAGGTTCTCCATGTGAAACAAGTTATGTGTGCTGACACCGGACTGAGCACCCTCTTCTTGCATCCGTTTGACAACATTCGCGATGAGACGAGAGATCTCCATATGCGACATGATGTTGATGGCCAGGTCGGACCCGGGCTGGGCACGACCGGCATCCTGGACTTCATCGGTTGTAGCGTTGGCTTCCAAGGCTTCGGCAGTAGGTTCCAGTCCTTCCGTAGGACACTCGTTTGCATTTCCGTGATCGATTTCTGTTTCTGTGACGAGCCTTGTGACCTCCATGACAGCCTGCTTCTCTTCAGATTGGTCTAATGCATGGACGTCGTGGTCCTGTGCGATAAGCGTTTCTGCTTGCTCTGCATGGGGTTCAACCATTTTGTGAATCCTTGATAAATGGGAGAGCAAATTGATTAAATTTTGGATGACAATTGCATGATATCCTAAAGGGGTTAGTAAGATATCCTCCGGGATAACTTCACAAATTGCACCCAAGGGGGTTCCAAATTTTTTATATCCTACGGGGATTACGAAGGGACCCCTCAATGGGGGGGGGGGGGGGGGGGGGGGAGGCGCCCT